GGCGTATCAATGTCTGTTTGGTATCCTATAGAAGTCTTACAGGTACAGTATAGCCTGTTAATAGGATTGGGTCATTCAAAAATGAAAATTTGTTGTGTGATTTTCTTCCTTTTGTTCATTTTTAAGCTGCTTTCTTCCATGAAATGAAAGCACACGTTGAGTGCCAAAAGAAGCATAAAAAAAAAGAAAACATAAAATTGGTCCATATGACTTCAGCACTATATTTCTGATGTCGTATTATAGTTTACAGACCAAAAATTAAGTCATTATTCTGACTGCAATGATGCAAGTAACATTTAATTGCATAGTGGTTTAAGTTATTGTGTTTTTGAGCTTGACAGTAAAAATTGCCATCTACACAGCAAAATAAATAAAAAATCAATAAATAAAGCAAAATTACCTTACAGAAAAATTACAGAAAACCTGATCAAAATTAAGTGACTTTACACTTAAAATAAGAAAAAAAATTACCAATGGGGTAATGAAAATAAACTTGTTTTTCCTTGTAAAATATAATAATAAAATAAATGAATAAAAAAAGTTTCTTTTTCTTAACCCATTGGCTGATATTTCTTTCTTGTTTTCAGCATGAAGTCGCTCAATTTTGTTCAATTTTTTCAGAAAAAATGGCAGAAAAATTACAATTACAGAAACACTGATAAAATAAGGAACTAAATGCTTAAAATAAGAAAAATGTCTGCCAATGGGGTAAGAAAAATAAATTAGTTTTCCCTTTAAAGGGTTAGTTCACCCAAAAATGAAAATTAGCCCATAAATTACTCACCCTCAAGGCATCCTAGGTGTATATGACTTTCTTCTTTCAGACGAATCCAATCGGAGTTATATTAAAACTTGTCTTTGATCTTTCAAGCTGTTTAATGGCACTCAGCGGGTGTTGCATGCATCAGTCCAAAAGAAGTTCAATAAAAAAACATTAAAAAAAAGTGTCTCACATGGCTCCGGGGGGTGAACAAAGGCCTCCTGTAGCGAATCGATGCGTTTTTGTATGAAAAATATCCATATTCAAAACGTAATAATCACTTTAATGTAGCTTGCGCCAACAGTTGTACACGGAAGCAGCTCTGGGCAGATGATGTATGAAGTTGGTGTTGCGCATGCGCCGCTCAGAAGTGATGAACGCGGAAGCACAGCGGATAGCTCATAACAAAACAACGGTCACTTATTAGAAGTACAAAACAAGGATTTGTAAAGAAGAATGTCAGAAGATTTCGATATAAGCCAAGAGGAGACTGGGTTTCCTTTGCTAAAGTAAGGTTTTCCTTTCCTTCCCCCCCATACACCTAGGATGACTTGAGGGTGAGTAATTGATGGGCTAATTTTCATTTTTGGGTGAACTAACCCTTTAAATTAAATAAATAAAACGCAATAAAAATACTGAGGAAGAAAAGGGTCAGAGAGGGTGGAAAATGCTTCAGAATATGGCTCCATTAAAGCAACATTTCTAATTCTCCCCGCTGATTTGAGCATTGCAATAAGCTTATTGTAATTTCCGATGGCAATTAAGAGGCCTCCGCTCCCAAACACACCAATGAGAGATCTTAGACAGAAGATGTGTTCATTGAGAAGTGAGAAATAGATCCTTTGCCTCATCACATTAGTGCCGGCCCCTTAAAGTGACTGTTTATCATGAGGTGCTCCAGGTTTTAATGAGCTCACTCTCTGTACTAGTATAATTCCAATTAGTCGGCTCTTTTCATACGAGGATGTGATTACTGTGAGAGGCCTCTTTTGTTTTGTATTCAGTAGCGAAAGCAGCGCTTTGGTTGTTTCAATCTTGTTCCTCCATGCCGGCCGGCTGACAGGAACATTACACCTTGTTCTGCATGCGGGGGGATACTAGCTCATTAATACACAGGGGATGGTTTAATTCACTGACTTCACACATTATATGATAGATGTGACAGAGCACTCCGATTCAATCTGCAGCTCTGCCGTTGTGCTGCAAATGTTACGCTAGCAGAGAAAAATGCGTACATTTTACTGTAAATACCATCTAATGTTTTTATTCAGTTGAAATGTAACTGATGTAGATGGTTGAAACGAAACCTGTCAGTATCTTGTTCAGGAGAGGTTTAAATAAAAAATGAAAGGAAGAAATTATGTAATAAAATAAATTTTACTTGAATTTTCATTATATATATATATATATATATATATATATATATATATTGCATGTATACATTGCATGCTCGTAGTTTCATCTGCGCTTTAATATGAAATGATATACAGCGCGAGTTGCCACATTTGTGCATGCAATTGAAGAGCACGTGCTACGAGCACAGTATAACAGCTGACAGGACAGGAAAAATTGTTTTTACTAACATATGTTTTTACGAACAACTCATCCGCAGTTCACTGATGTCCCACTGAAGTTGCCTAG